ACGGGGCAATCCAGGACGCCCGCAGCGCTGGCGAGTACGCGACCCCTCGTCCACACCCGCGTCCCTGCGTGTTAGGAGACAATGGCACTTGGTGGCACGGAGTATTTTGGAACACGCTGTTGGGGACTCCCGTCACACCGAGGACCCAGGGTGCAGTTCGAGTTCTGGAGGCGGCCACAATAGTGCTGGGCGCCTTGTTTCCAAGGCGAGGCCACGTGATTCTGGCAGAAACACTTTTCCCTCCATAGGACTGTCTGGCTGGCAGACAGTTCTTTCGTAGCTGGCTTGCCTGTGTGCACTCTTTGGCGGGGAGTGGTTGGGCACGTGTGGCCTCAAGCCAAGGTAGGGAGAGGGCCTGAGAAAAAGATCCTTAATCTCAGTGATCTGTAAACTTACTTCCTTATCTGGGTGGGCCACATGTAACCACACCCATCCTTATAAGCACAGTGGAGGAGTCAGGTGGCCATGTGATGACAGAAGCAGAGTTAGCAGAGTTAGAAGATTCTAGGCCACTACTTTGAAGATGGAGGAAGGCGTGAGGAGCCAAGGAAGGCAGGCAGCCTCTTTGAAGTCCCTGAACTTGTAGCAAATTGTTGCAGGAGCCCCAGGGAAAGACTCCACTTTCGTAGGGGAGGGATGCTGAAGGCAGCCTTCACGGTTGACTGTCACTTGCTAGCTACCTTCCACCATTGGTCTGGTGGATGTCCTTGAACCTTCTCTTGTTAACCCTGCTCGTGGTGAATGTGTTTGGTTCTGTGACTCAGTGCAGTGATTTCTTTAGGAGCTGTGGGGAGGGGGTGGGCTTTAACCCCTAAGTGAATCCTCTGTCCTGCTCTGGTGTTGGAGTTTTGTTCACTGTTTAGTGTCTCGGTCTCCTTCCTCGGCTCCTGGTGATGGCCATATGCCCTGCTTTTTCTCTCCTCAGCCTGTATTCAGCTTTTCGAACCAGCGCTGAGTACGGTCTTTCACTGTGATGTCGAGACTTGTACCACCTGTGTGATGGCTCTGAGGCTCTCCCTCTTCTGTCTTCTTAGCAGGATTTCGGTTAGATGAGTTGCAGGGTGGAGTCCACCCCAGAGTTTGTGCAGAAACAGGACCCCCTGTTTCTCAGAGTGATTGGAGGACTGCCGGAGTGCAGAATCCCCAACCTGCAGAGGGGAAACTGTGCTGTCACATGGTTCCTAGGGGCATCGGCAGCCCAGTAGAGTCCAAGAAGCCCGAGAACCCACTGGGAGCCCCAGCAGCACCTGCCGGCTCCACTGGAAGTCCTTGGTCTTGTCCAAGCACGGCTGTGTTCGCTCAGAGCCTGTTTCACCAGGTTGGTGTCCTGTCCTGCCTGCTTTCTCCAGGCATCAAGCTTGGCATGCAGTCCATCCCCGTGGCCACTGCCTGTACCATTTACCACAAGTTCTTCTGTGAGGCCAACTTGGATGCCTATGACCCCTACCTGGTCGCCATGTCTTCCATCTACTTAGCTGGCAAAGTGGAGGAGCATCACCTGCGGACTCGCGACATCATCAACGTCTCCAACAGGTAATGGCTTCTGGCCCAGGCATTTGGGCGGGTCTCCTAGTGTCCACGGGGGGTGGGGGCAGAGAAGGTGCCCGCTGGGCCCTGCTCGCCAAATGCCACCAACCAAGCTTGGAAGGAAGCTGCTGGATGGCCTCGAATTCGGGCCAGAAACACTAGCAACAAAAGAAGTGGGGAGGGAGCTGGAGGCGGGAGTGCAGGGGGGTTCTGTGGGGGGAGAAGCTTGGGCAGATTTCTAGGGAGCATCGAAGGCTAGATGGAGGGTAGAGGCGGGGCTTGAGCGGGGGGTGCTGGAGTCCTGGACACAGAAGGGCAAGGAGGGACCTCCTGCAGCTGGGCTGTGTGGGCCCACATCGGAGGGCATGGTCCCGTGGGACTCATTTCATTTAGCTGCTGTGAGAAACCGAGTTCCCGTTGCTCAGGAGCCCTCCTCACCCCTTTGTGGGCGTGTCGTGGCACCGCTGGGCGCAAGTAGTTGTGTTCCTGCTGGGCCAGCATGCGGGGGTCCAGCCAGTTGGCAAGTTGCACCTGGGCCTGAGGGCCCAGGAGAAAGCCATGTAAAGTATGGAAAGCGACTAGCTAGCCATGTGTTGTGGGCTGTGCCTGGAACTTTGACCGTTAGGACAGAACGTGATTTTGTTCTTGGGAGACCAAGACAGAAGCAGGCGAGGGGCCAAGGGAGGGCGGTGGAGGCCACCCATAACTGCCTGGGCCTCAGTGGGAAGGGGCGGCAGAAGGAGAATGGTATGGAGCCCTCATTAGTCATGGCGCAGGGCGCAGGGGCTCTGCAGCTAGGGAGGGTGAGTCGTGGGTAGTGAGGGCCGCCTGCTTTGCCACGAACCCTGCTTGGTACACTTTGGGGATCTCATATAGGTGGGAATGTAGCAGACATATAGCGGTGTAATTAGGACAGAAAGACCTGGAAGGAAGGAAAGGCAGTCTGGGAAATATAAAACCGAAAAACATTCACTTTTCAGAGTCCATCATTCCCATGATATGTTTAAATACATTCCTTGGGCTGAGAGTGAGAGCCCTGGACATTGCCACCTCAGGTGATGAAGACTCCCTAACGTCAGGCCAATGTGACAGGAAGCACAACCGACTTGGCGTGCTCAAGCTTCCGGTTCCGCTGGAGCCATCGCCGAGCGCCGACCTTTGCACTTGACGTCTTGCTGAATGACAGCGGACGACGGCCCAGCGGGCTGACACTGGGAGCCAGCTTCTTCCCTGTTGCTTCCTGTTTCCATTCCTTACACTAGACGTGGAGATGAAGAGTTCTCTCCCAGAACCTCACTAGAGCGGCCGTGTCCCTGTGCTGCGGAAGGACGTGCAGTGCGTGTGTGGACGCCCCGTCCCAGGCCCTGCCCTGGGCGCTGTAAGCATTGCCGTCTCTCCGACAGGTACTTTAACCCGGGCAGCGAGCCCCTGGAGCTGGACTCCCACTTCTGGGAGCTCCGCGACAGCATCGTGCAGTGCGAGCTCCTCATGCTGCGAGTCCTGCGCTTCCAGGTCTCCTTCCAGCACCCGCACAAGGTACATGCTGGGGAACCGGCCCCTGGTTCCGCAGGCTCCCATGTGCTTGTTCTGTAGCCTGGAAGCGTGTCCTGTCTAGTCCTCCAGAGCAGCCCGTGAGCAGGACAGGTCTGCTGCCGGGACCCGGTTCCCCCACTCCTCGCGGCCACAGGGTCGGCTGGCCTCTCCTGTCTGACCGCCATGGGCTTCCTTAGTCCAGCCTCTGCCTTTCTACCCGCTCGTCTGTGGCCCTCTGACATGCTGCATATGCTGCGGCCCGTGTGGACCGTGTGTGCACTGAGTTTCGGGGAGTCCGTGCCCGCGAGATGCCCTTATGCCTCGGGGCACACATCCTGCTCAGCTGTGCTTAGAAAGCCACAAGGAGGGCTGAGTTGCTGAGTTTAGGGACACGGAAGTCTCAGCAGAGGGACATTTTGAGCAGCAGCCAAAGTGAAATTCCAACATTTAAGAACGCTTGGAGTTGGTGACCCAGGCGCCGCAGAGCCCGTGCGTGGGCAGCTTGGAGGATGACCGTAGAGAAAGATGGCAGTGAGGGCCTGGGGCTCGGATTTCTGTTCTTCTCCACTGAAACTCTAGTGCAGAGCTGCCCCGCACACTTTGCCCCGTCTCCCCAAGGGGAACACTTCGCAGAGCTGTGATTGCACCCTTGCAGCCAGGCTGTCAGTGTCCATACGAGCCGCCGGTGTCCCCGTGCGTGCGTTCACTCGTGCCCTTTTACGACATCTATGTCCTTGTGTCCCCCCACCGTGGCTAAGGTGCAGAGCAGTTCCATCGCACAGGACCCTTCTACTGCCTCCGACAATCTTACCTCCACCTTTCACCCTCCCTCGCTGATCCCTGGAAACCTCTGGTCTCGGGTTTCTACCCAGTAGATTTCAGCTTGATCAGATTCCCAGGGAAGGCAGGCACTGCCCTGGCGCCTGCGGGCTGGCCAGCTGTTGTCAAGGTGACAGGGCTCAGGAAGGAGCATCGCTCAGACCCAGGAGGGTGTGTGATCTGTGGCAGATCAGGAGAGATGGCCCAGCGTTGCTGGGAGCCTGCCGGCCCTTCCTCTTCCTCATCAGGGCTAGGGGCTAAGGATGGGTAGGATGTAGCATGTGAGCCCCCCTCCGTGGCATGCTAGAGTCATGCACATACATGTGTTCAAGTCTGTCCAGGGAGCTCACAGGTGTCTTTCTGTGTTATGTGAGGTTCGGGCGGCGTCTGAGTGCTGAGAGCAGGTGTCGTGGGCGAGGACAGCACCCCTGAAGTTCTTGGCGCTGACTGGCCTCTTGAAAGCAGTGTCCTTGGCAGATGAGGGGACTGCTCTCTGGAGCTCCAGGCCCTGAGTGATTTCCCACCGTGGCCGCAGCCAGCCCTGAGAGGGAGCGGGATTGTGGCGGGAGCGGCCATCGGTCGTGGCCTGGAGGATGGGAGCGGGCAGGCATGCGGCAAGGTGACCTCAGGCAGGGTTCAGCGTGCGAGGCCCTGAGGTGGGCGAGGGTGGTGGGAGACGGGCCGGCGGAAGGCACTGGGCCTTTTTCCTGAGCGACGTGGAAGCTGCTGGAGGGTTGACCTGATCATAGCCACTTGGGGACAGTGGCCGGCAGGCGGAGGGACCGCAGTGTGGCGTGAGCCCGAGGGCAGACTGGCTGACGTGCGTGTCTTTGCAGTACCTGCTCCACTACCTGGTTTCCCTCAAGAACTGGCTGAACCGCTACAGCTGGCAGCGGACCCCCATCGCCGTCACTGCCTGGGCCCTGCTGCGGGACAGCTACCATGGGGGGCTGTGTCTCCGCTTCCAGGCTCAGCACATAGCTGTTGCGGTGCTGTACCTGGCCCTGCAGGTCTATGGAGTGGAGGTGCCCGCCGAGCTCGAGGCCGAGAAGCCATGGTGGCAGGTGAGGTGGCTGTCCAGTGTGCTGGGCTGTGCCCTCTTCTTCCCAGAAGTCCCTGGAACTCAGTGCTCACCAGTGTCTTTGGTGATGATTCTGGAGAAGGCGTGGGCTGCTTGGGAATGCTGAGGCTTTTAAATGCTCTGTTATAATAGCCTGAGGTGAGGGTGCTCTCCTTGGCGCCGTTGCTGTTTGGAGCTGAGTCCTTCCTTGTGGTGGAGGCTGTTGGGTGTCAAGCAGTGCCCCTGGCTTCCACCCAGATGTTGCCAGTGTCCTGGGAGGGTTTCCTCAGGTGAGACCCGCTGGGCTAAGCCCAGAGCATCCAGGATGCTTATTGGATGGAGTGGGAACTTGACACAGGTCATAGGTCAGTCAAGTTGGCTTCCCGCCAGAAGCATGTGGGCTGCTTGGCAGGGGCAGGAGGGCAGTGGAGTGATGGCCGGTAGGTAGGTAGGTGCCAAGAGAGATGGTAGATGCCTAGACAGGTAAGAGGGCTGTTGATGCGTAGGTGCATGGATGATTGCTGGACCTTAATAGGTAGGTAGAAAATAGGTAGGATAGATGGATGGAGGAGGTGGATTCAGATATGGCAGGTGGATAGATAGATTCAGTCCCTAGATGGATAGATGGTGGACAGGTTACATAGGTTGAGTACCTAGATGGATAAATGATAGGTAAGATAGATTAGATACCGAGACAGATAGATAGATGCATAGATAGATAGGTGATGGGTAGATGAATGAATATATACACGGATATTAGAGAGAGGGAAGCAGAGAGGTAGCTAGATGATAGATACAGATCGATGGTAGATGATAGAGACACACAGAGAGAGATACAATAGACAGATGATCGAGAGAGATGGATGATAGATCGTTAGATGACTGATCAAGTCTTGCCTCCTCAAACCTGCTGAGTCCGGGGTGCAGGTGGTAGGGCCCTCGGCTGGGACAGCTGTGTGGGTGTCAGGCGCCACCTTGTAGAGGGGCTTTATTCCGATGCGTTCTCTTCCCTGGCTCGCCTGCCCTCCATGGAAGGCCCCCGCTGGGACTGATTTCTCGTGCTTATTGTCTGTCTAACCCTGCATCCCCACCCACCTGCACGTACCCGAATGCGTGCAGGCACAGCGCTCTCCCGAGGCCGCGCGGGAAGGGGCATGTGTGTGGACAGACGGTCACTCCACGCTTTCAGCGCCTTTCAGGTCATGAGACTGCGGCATTCTTGTAGGGTTGAAGCCGGTGGTGGCAGATGCTCGCTGGGGACGTCTGGTGGTGTGGTGGCCCCAGCCTCTGCGCCTGCATCTGCGGTGTGGCCACTCGCCTCTGTGCTCTGCGCTGGCTCGCCTCGTCTCTCTCTTCCCTTCGTCACTTGCTCCTGGGCCTCACTGCCACTGCTGCCTCTGCGTCCGCACTCAGCCCTCCAGATGGGGAAGAAGTTGCCACCCGTGGGGTGTTCAGCCCGCTCTTCTCCAAGCCTGTCGTCCACCCTTGCCGATGGTGTAGGGTCGCATGCCTGGGAGCCTGTGGTCTCGGCACCCTGTGGGCTGACAAGGTGCAGGCAGGCTCATGACTTGGAAGACGAGTGGGGCTAGTGGCAGGGGCAGAAATGTGCAGGAAGTCGACATCCCCAGACAGACCAGGTTGAGCCCCCAGGCCCTCTCCCCCCACAGGCCAGCAGTGTCTCCTCCTATGACTTAGGGACGTGTCCCTTCTGCTGCCAAGTGCCCCAGGGCTGTCACCTATCCTGGACTCGTTTTTAAAATTGTGGTGGCATCCACATCACCTAAATGTAGCACGTTTGCCATGTGACGCACACAGGCTAGGGCAGAGGCACATTCACGGTGTCACACAGCTGTCACCACCTTCCTTCCACAGAGCTCGCTCATCCTCCCAGCAGGAACCCTGTCCCCACTCCCCCTCCCCCAGGCCCCAGCACCCACTCTTCTGCTGCCTGTCGCTATGGATGGCACCGATTTAAGGACCTTGCAGAAGTGGAGGCCTCCAGTATTTCTCCTTTTGTGGCTGGCCCGTTTCACAGGGCACAGTGTCCGCCACAGTCAGCCATGCTGGAGTGTGCATCAGTATCCTTCCTCGTTAAGGTTGAATCACATTCCATCGTCTGGATGGACCACATTCGAATTACCCGCTCGTCCATCAGTGGACACCGGGCTGCTTCTGCCTTTTGGCCCTGGATGCGTTTAAGGCTTTTTCTCAGCTTGGGGTACCCAGGAGCCCGCCTGTGCCTCTGAAGTATTTGTTTCTGGCTCACCATCTCCCGCCTGAGGTGGTAGGCCATAGAAGTGCCTAGGTTCTTTGGGGATTCATGAGGGGTAGACTTCAGTCCAGTTCTCGCCTTGGCTCCCCAAGGCCTTGTTGGTGCCTTGATTTCCCAGGCAGCAGCCCTCTTCCCTGTGGTCACTGGGGGTCTCCAAGAACACCCTCAGGTTCAGTGATACGCTGGGAGGACTCACATGGGTCACCTCAGCTTCGACTTCCTGGGCTCAGGAGATCCTCCCTCCTCAGCCTCCTGTGTAGCTGGGATACAGGCATGCACCACCAAGCCCAGCTATTTTTTTGTCTTTTTGTTAAGACGAGACCTTGCTGTGTTGCCCAGGCTAGCCTCCCATTCCTGGCCTCAAGCTATCGTCCCACCTTGGCCTCGCAAAGTGCTGGGATTACAGGTGTGAGCCCCCATGCCTGGCCACCATTTTGGCTTATGACAATGAAAGGATACAGATTATGGTCATCAAAGGTACGAGGTGCATAGGGTGGGTCCAGGAGAGGTACAAACCTCCTCTCCTAGGGGAGTTGATTGACCGTTGCTAAGTTCTCTCATGACAGTGGGCGAGCAGCAATGTATGATAACATGTGTAGCATGTTGCCATCCGGGGAACTCCCTGGGGCCTGGTGTTGGGGTTTTCAAGGGGGTTGGTCACGGAGGCACAGGGCACCTTTGTGCTGGCCTGGGTCACTTAAGCTCCAGTCCCCAGAGGTCCAGCTGATGCCATGAGGTTCACGGCCCTCACCCTGAATCTCATCATTGGTGCAGACTGCCTGGCAGGGTCCTCAGCCCCGGTCCACCAAGATGCTTGTGCCAAGCAGTCCTATCCAGAGACTTAGAGGTCATCCCCCAGGGGCCAGGCAGGGGCCAGGCCTGCCTGGAAGGTGCAGTGTGTGGCCCCAGGCCTGTGAGTTGCCCTGTGCTGCTTGCTCTCTTGGTTTATGCCCCAAGGACTCTGCCATGTTTTGGGAATGCTCCTGCGCATTGTGGCCTGGGTGTCCAATCTCCTCAGGGCCGACTACTTAGCCTGCCTGTCTCTGGAAACAGGACTCCTGCCCTCTCCACCCGACCATCCCCAGAAACCCTGGGCCCGAGGGAGCCTAGCTCTGTGACCAAGTCTCTGTGGGACCTGGGACAAGTCCCCTGTCCTGTTGAGGTCAGCTGATCACCAAGACCTCTTCCATCTGGAATGTTCTCTGCTTCGTACGGTCTTAGATCGGCCCCAAGAGGCTGGAACTGAAATGGCTTTGCAGGAGGGCTATCATCTTCCTAGATAGCTATGCCCCGTGCCCCGCCCCTGCCCATGAAATGCAATTCTGTGCTTAGCGATTGCTGCCTTAACCCAGAGGGAGTCTAACTGGAACCTGTTTTCCTTCTTCTTTCTAGGTGTTTAGTGAAGACCTTACCAGGCCAGTCATTGATAACATTGTGTCTGATCTCATTCAGATTTATACCATGGACACAGAGATCCCCTAAGGCCCTGGCCCAGGCCTGCCCAAAGAGAAGCTCAGGATGCTTGGCTGCCTGGGGACAGTGTCACCACGTCACCATGACGGCTGGTCCTCAGAGGAGCAGCTGGGAGGACTGGTTGTGCTGCTGGAGATGGACTGGTGACGGCGATGACATGCTGCCACTTTGTCCCCAGCAGCCGTGGTCCAGATGATGGCGGGAGCTGGCCTCCAGCAGGCAGGCCGGGAGCACACTGTGTGCAACCGACCCGAGGTGGCCACATCTGCTTTTGTCCTTTGAAAGGACTCCGACTGCAATTAACGCGTGACATCATTGAAAGGAAAATCAGAGAACAGCTGGGACTGCATCCCTAGGAATTTTTTAAAAAATCAGATTTATAGAAAGAATGAATGTACAGCATAGATGGCATTTATTTTGTGTAATAAAAGATGACAAAGTCAACGAGACTCTTATGTTTGCTTGTAGCCTGTCCCACCCATGGCAGGTTTGAGGGGCCCTCCTGGTGTTCGGGGCCTCCTGGACAGCACCAGAGCATGGCAAGGTTGGGACATTGGCCTGCTTGGTGGGCTACGGGAAAGCTGGCCAGGGCGCTGCCCTCGGGAGGCCGGCCTGGGGTTAGGAGAGTGCCTTACATTCAGAAAAGCCCGAGCTGGTCAGATGTGAGTAGAAGTACTAAGATGAGGCTTGTGTGGGTCAAGACGGCCAGTCTAGAAACAGAGTCCAGAGAGACTTAGAGCTGAACCGTGACACCCTCCAACTACCTGCTCAGAAGCGGTTGTGAGTATCTGCCCAGCCTGTGGCACGTTCCCCAAGATCTCATGAAGCTCATGTGCACTCAGCACATGGTGGCACAGGCTCAGGGGAAGGACCCAGTCATACCCCCACAGCTGGAAGGTCGTTACACAGGGCAGTGGGTCCCGGTGCCCACAGGTGTGGGGCTGGCCTCATGCAAGGGCTTCCCAGCATGCTGGCTTCACGTGCCATCCTTGGGTGACAGCGGGAGTGGCCACTTGCTGGCAACAAGTCAGGCAGTGGGGCTTGTTTGACTTTACTCAGCAACTATGTCATCTGTTGTCAGGGCGAGGAATCCGAGCCAACATCACAGCCCTCCTTGGTGGGCAGGCCTGCCCCAGCTGGCCCGGCCTCTGTTCCTAGAAACCCCCGTCCCCAACTGTGGGTTTGGGTTTAGTCTACTCAATGCAGGCTCACGTTTTAACTGTGATGGTTGTGGGCTTTTTGAGACTAGTCACAGGACATTTATTGAGCAGCTACTATGTGCCAAGTTCTGGCCTCCTTAGGGGGAGGAGAGACAAGAAACAACAAGGGCAAGTCCTAAGAGAAGGTGGCCAGGGCATGGGGGTACAGTAGGCCTGGCCCTGCAGGCCTGGCCCTGGGCCTGGTGACAACTGGAGTGGAGAGCAGTGGTTGTCAGAGACTGGGGAGCAGAAGGGTTGGGGCCCCGAGCTGTGACTGCTAGGAGACACTGATGGAAACATCAGTCACTCAACTTGTGGCACCGTGTTTCAGCAGCCGCAGGACACATGAAGTTACCATATAGTGCAGAGACTTTTGAAAGTTCTCACCACAAATAAATAATCCATGCTGGACGTGGCGGGTGTACCAACCACCTACCCCGACTGACTCCTGAAACAACAGAAACACTGATTGAAACATCAGCTTGTGCTCCAGAAATATGTTCAGTTAAACGCATGAATTAAAACATGAAGACATTTTTTTGAAAAGAAAATCTTTACCTTAAGATCACAAGAGTCACACAGAAGGAGCAGGATCAAGGGAGGGAAAAGACCTCAAGATTTCCCACCAGCAAGTTTTTCATTTAAAATTCAAGAATGGAAAGAAAATCAAGCAGGAGGAATTAAAAAATCAGACGGTCTGGATGCAGTGACTCATACCTGTAATCCCAGCACTTTGGAAGGCTGAGGTGGAAGGATCACTTGAGCCCAGGAGTTCAAGACAGCCTGGGCAACATAGTGAGAACTTGTCTCTGTCTCCGCAGAAACAAATTTTAAACATTAGCTGGGTATGGTGGTGTGCCCCTGTAGTCCCGGCTACTCAAGACACTGAGATGGGAGGATTGCCTGAGCCCAGGAGGTTGAGGCTGCGGTGAGCCATGATTGTGCCACTACACTCCAGCCTGGATGACAGAGTGAAACCTCAAATAATAATAATAAAAAGAATGGGACCCATGCTTTTTTTCTCTTCTTTTTGCTAAGGGCAAGAAAGGTGAAAGACACATTGCTTCTCTGAGTTTCAGTTCTCTTTCTCAGAAGAAATGATTGAGAAAATACACGCCATGATGAACACGTTCTGTGAGGACAGTCCCGACAGTGACAGAGGAACTGGTGGGTTTGAAGGCCACGCTATCGTCCAGTCTGCCCTTGTCTTGCTCGGGGACACCACGGGCCTTCTGACTCACAGGTGCTTCAGCAGCGAGATGGCGGAAGCAGCGACCGGCAGGTAGGACCAGGTACTGTTCTTAGTCTCCACGTGTGTTCATGAAGGCATTTGATGCTCACAGCCCTGAAAGGGAGATATTACTACTAAGATAGTGTTGCTATTTTACACACAGGGTAACTGAGGCAGGGAAAGGGGCATCCCAAGAGGCCCAAGGTCACACAGCTAGTAGGTGATAGGGCAGAGTCCCCAGCCAAGTGGCCTCTTGAGCCCGTGCTCTTTCGTTGGGATGGTGAAGCGATGGGTGGGGCGGGGCTTCATGTGCGTCCCTGTAGGCGGCACTGCAAGCTCTAGAAACGATGGACCCCGAGCTGTGGCTCAGGGTGGAGGACAGCTGTCTAAGTTCAGCGATTGACACAAGAGGAAGAGGAGGAGAGACCTGGACCCAGACCCACACAGAGGGAGGAGACCACGTGAAGATACAGACGTAGAAGGAGGTCGCATGGAGACAGAGGCAGAGACTGGAAGGATGCACATACAAGCCAAGGAGCACAGGCATTCCGGCCACACCAGGAGCTGGACAGAGACCTGGGACAGACCTACCCCTCAAGCCTCCAGGGCGAACAGCCCTGCCCTCATCTGGATTTGGGCCTCTGGCCTCCAGGACCGGGAGAGGATGCATTGCAGTCGTAAGTCACTCAACTTGTGGTACCGTGTTTCAGCCGCCACAGGACACATGTACCTGCGCCCTCCCCAAACTCCCAGCACGAGCCCTGACTCCGGCTCAGCGTTGCACTGCCTCCTTGCCCCAAGTCTACTAGGGACCAATTTCCCCCAGGAAACCTCTCTCCTACTTCCTAGCAGAAGTCCTTGGAAAGAGAGTAGCAGACACAGCTTCCTGCTGCTTTGGGGGAGCAGGCCTCCCTCCATGATGTGCCAGCTGCCCTGCCAGGGACCTGGCTGGTCGCGAGGGACTCACACCCTGTCCCACGAAGGCACTCTGCACTCATCTGGTGTTTTCTGTTATGTGTCCTTTGCCTGTTTTAGAAGTATGGACTCTGCTGGTGGGAGGGAACTCTGAAGTCACTTTTCTCCTGTCTTGGCAGTTTCCTGCCAAGTCAGAAAGGGAAAGGGAAATCCCATGAAGCCAGCCAAGCGCAGTCTTGGCGCTGCTGCCTTGGTGGGTGGGTCACTGGGAAGTCTCGGGCCACAGAACTGCTTTCCTGACTCGGGTGGGGGCGGGGCCTGGAGCCTGTGAGTTGGCTTTGGGCTAACCAGGAAGTCTGCGATTGGAACCGATGTGCGCTGCAGATGAAAATGTGAGATGGTGCAGTTGCTGTGGAAAACAGTCTGGTGGTTTCTTAAAAGGTGGATCAGCGTCACCACAGGACCCAGCAACCCCACAGCTGGGGGCACAACCATGGAAATCGAAGATGGGGTCTCCGAGAAATATTTGCACGCGTATGTTCACAGCCGCATTTTCCACAGTAGCTGTGGAAGCAGCCCGGTGTCCACTGATGGACGAGCGGGTAATTCGAATGTGGTCCATCCAGACGATGGAATGTGATTCAACCTTAACGAGGAAGGATACTGATGCACACTCCAGCATGGCTGACCGTGGCGGACACTGTGCTCCGTGAAACGAGCCAGCCACAAAAGGACAAATACTGGAGGCCTCCACTTCTGCGAGGCCCCTAGAGCGGTGCCATCCATAGTGACAGGCAGTAGAGGTTGGGTGCTGGGGCCTGGGGGAGGGGAGTGGGGATGGGGTTCCCGCGGGGAGGATGAGTGAGCTCTGTGGAAGGAACGTGGCGACAGCTGCGTGACACTGAATGTGCCTCTGCCCCAGACTATGTGGCTTCACATGGCAAATGTGCTACATTTAGGTGATGTGGATGCCAACACAAAAGAGGGAGGGGGAGTGTGTGTGTGTGTGTGTGTGTGTGTGTGTGTGTGTGTTTGTGTGTGTGTGTTTGGGCTGAGGTGCTTGCGCTGAACTGTCATATTGCTGAGGGCCTCCACTCCACTCTCATCTAAGGACACTGGCCTGGACAGTCACCATGGGCCCTTGCAGGTCGAGACAGCCGGCGATGCCTGTGGCTAGGGCGCCTTGGCCCCAGGCGGGTCAGCTGTTCCCTCTGTGGACCTGGCCGGGCTGCACGCCTGGTGTCTCCAGCTCTGTGGGTGACATGAAGACACCTCCATTTTGTTCCGTACGAGAATCCACCACATAATAAATCACACATTACCCAGACCAGGATATAGGAGCCTTTCATTTTTTTTATACACAGAAATTTGGGTCTATTCTTTAAGTTAGGAAATTCAACTACAGACTTTAAAGTAGTATGCATCTGTGGTCTTCCTTATGAAGATATTTTTGTTCATCTTTTATAACAGGCAGATAAAAATGTAAAACATATTTATTAACTGAACACAGTTGACCAAGCCATTCCAGATAATATAATGCTTGAGAAAGAGGGGCTTCCCGATGACACAGGTCCCTCCATCTGAAGACTGTACAGAAGCCAGAGCACAGATTTGCGTCCACGACGCCCCTTTTGGGAACCCCACGCCCCAGCACAAAGGCAGCCTAGGGACTAAACGATCAACATTACAGTAGGCAACTTTATACAGCAGCAGTGAGGGTTGTTTGGAATATACAGTGGCCGTGGGTTCTACCACTGTGTCTACGACAAAGTGCAAACGGCCCATGAGTGTGACATCACACGGCTCTTTCTCCACGATTTCCACGTCTCAGGTTTTATTTCTCGTTTAAGAACACAAAGACCCTCAGCGAGCTGAGTTGCCCTTTTTGTGGTTGTTGAAACGAGGACATCAGGGAACAGTTTACAAATGGGTAACATTCTCAATGTGCCCTTTGGAAAAAGGGATGGCTTTAAATTACCTGTAGCTGGCATTTTTCAGTGGGATTTTCTGTTCGAAGCACAATTCTTTTGCCCGAGATTTGACTGCTCCTGCTCAGTGGTGACATGGCGTTCACGCTCACGGTGGCGGCGGAGCGTGCTTCCGTCTGGCCTGGTGCGGGAGCCCGGTGCGGGTGCCAGGCAGGTGAGACAGTCCCGCTGCTGCGTCAATACAGGGGGCTCAGCTCCTGAGAGGGCCAGTCCACGCCTGTGGTTTCCCTTCTGATCTTGAGCCCCTCAGTCCCCAACTGCCTCTTTAGTGGTGAGCCCCAGGCCCAAGGGTCAGGCCTGCGTAGGGAGCTGCGGTTGGGACCTCCACCACGCCCCTGTGACATGTGACACCTGTGAGTCCAGAAGGTAAAGAAAGCTCATGGGCAAAGTGCTACCCACTCCACCAGTGTCGCTGTGGGTGTCCATGCTTGAAATCTGGGAGACCAATGCTCTCTCCTCTGCCTTCTCTGCGCTTCCCTTCCAAGTTATCGCTCACTCAGGGGAAACTGAGGCTTGGCACACTGGGTGCCCACACTGCCAGGAGAGGATCCCCTCAGGACCTGGAGAAAGAGCCATGGGTGTGTGATGCGAGCGCCCGCGACACAATGCCATTGACCGAGGGGCGATGCCTCTGCATGTGCTGCCCCCGTGTGGCGAGAAGTGGCAGCAGACACCAATCCATGCCTTCGTGGGTTAAGCTTGTCCTCTGGACAAGGCCGTGGTGGGAAGAGTGCTTGGGCGGTGGCGTCTCCTATGCCATGGCGGACACTGAGGGGTCTAGCGAGGACTTGGCATTTGCCAAAGCAAAAAGCAGGAGTCCAGCCTGGGTGCCGAGGGGGACAGGGTCAGAGCCGCGGCCACGTTCCTGCCGTCGTCGTCTCCCACAGCTCCCCTGGGGTTAAATGATCCCTCTTCCTCCGGCGGTTCCTTCTGGACTCTCGACCCTCTCCCCGCCCTGGGCCTGTGCCCTGCGACGTGGAACTTGCACCTTGCACGGGGCACTTCTTGAAGTTGTGGGTGTGGCCAGGATGGAGGACTTGGAATTGGACTTGAAACCAAAGGAAACTGAAAACCTCACTCCCCTTCCACCTTACAGGAGGGGGTCATTCTCATGACGACTTTGGCATTTTCCTTTTAGATAGAACCTTCCATGGAAAGGGCTTTCTCTCTATAGGCAGGGGTCAAAAGTGCAAATGGTCCAACAGGGCTGGGCAGAGGGTGGGATGGAGTGAGGGATGGGGGGATTTGGGACAAAAAAAGATCTTAACCAAAAAAATATTCTTGCAGTCTCGTTCCCTGAAAGAAGACTTGCTCCATTCAAGAATGAGATTTCCAAATGGGAGCGCCTGGTGAGAGGAATGGAGATGCCACGCCCACATGTAGTTCCTTGCTCTTGGGAGACGAGTCTTGTCATCCGTGTGTCTACTCTGGGGATGGCCTGCTTAGCGGACACAGGTACATCTGCAGGCAGCTCCCTCGAGTGGCCTCGAAGGGGAGTAGTGTCCTTCACGGCCCTGCAGAGTGCTCGCCTTTTTTGTACGAACACATCGATCTGATTGTTGTCAATAAACGCAGACCAGCCCCGTACCCACCGCACGTGGGATTTGTAGTGTTCGATAAAAAAGAAGCGTCGGTAGAAAAAAGGTGGGGAGCACAGCCCTTCTCACTCTCTCCTTCCTCCCCTTCGGGTAGAGACTCTCCCCCTTCTCCTCTGGCTCCCCTCTTCCTCCTCCTCCTCCCTCCTCCCCCTCCCCCACCTCCTCGGTCCCAGATGAGGAGCCTGGGGCGGGCTGCGCCCTTATCGAATGGATTCGGCTTCTTGCAGCCACCCCAGTCACTCCCCTCTTCCGCGGGTGTGCAGGTCCCCTCTGTGTGTGCGTGCGTGTGTGCATGGGACTGCGTGTGAGTCCGAGTGTGCGTGTGCGTGTGCGTGTGCCAAGACAAGTTCTGGTTAGAGGGACGTCTCCACGCTGTGGAGCGGGCTCCCGGGACCAGAAGAAAACGCTGAAGAGGTAGCTGACTTGGTGACATGCGTGGTCAGGTAGATGCCGCTGTCTATGGCATTGTTGTTTTGATTGGGGGATGGGGGCGGGGGAGCCCGCAGGCGCTCCTCGTTCTCATCCACGTCCGTGTCATCGATGAGCGGGATGTTGTGGGTGTAGTCATTGATCAGAAACTCGGGCGTTGCCATGAAGTTATGGATGGAGGTCTTGGACTCTGGTTTCTCCAGGCCTTCATAGAGCGAGCTACGGAATGCTTTCACCACCCGGATCTGGAGCAGGAGGTGGGGGACAGGGCCCAAGGTAGGAGCAGGGAGGGAAGGAGGGGAGGAAGGAGGGAAGGAAGGGAGGGAAGGAGGGAGAGAGAGAGGGAAGGAGGAAGGAGAGAGACAGTCAATGGCCGGCTGGTGCTGGCGCATTCCACCCACGGCAATGGCTGGGGTCATCGCATGATAATGTCCATCCCTTGGGAGGGCGGCTGCAGAATGGGGCAGCTCTGCTTGGCTTTGGGAAGGGTTTTCAGGTCTGGGCCTTGGTCCTGTCAATGGATCCACATGCAGGAAAAATGGCAACGGCTTTCTCTAGGCTGACCTGGGCAGACGTTCTGGAGCTCAGGAGATGCAATTTGGCAGGAAAGAAAGGTGACCCAAGAAGGGGAGAAGGCTGGGGAATGGCCTCTCCACTTGGCCTTACCAGAAGGCCCCAGGTCCCTTCTGGTAAGAGCAAGGATCAGCCCATGGGCATTGCTGGCCTTCCTCCCATGGGTCTCCCTCCAGGGACTTCACCCTGTCCCCCAGCTTCCAGGACCTGCCATGCCCAGACCTGTCTGGCCATCAGTCTTCCTGCTGCTAAGTCCAGCAGCCACTCTTGCATCTTCACCTTATTTGATGCCTCTGGGGTATCTGCTGAGCTGACCTCCCCTCTTTCTGGAGACTTCTCGTGGCTCCCTGACATTGCCTCTGGCTGGCCCTCTTCCACTTCGCTGGCTGCTCCAGCCCTGACTCCACCACGGCTTCCTCTTCTGCCCCTGGGAGCTCTAGAGCTCTGGCCTGGCCCAGTCCCTCCTCCTTTCTGTCCACACTTCCTGCCCTGGTCACGGCACTGGGGCCCAGGAACTGTGGTCCAGGCTCCTCCTCAGAGCTCCAGGCCCAAGAGCCTGCCAGGCCCCCACCTGGAGGCATTGGAGACAGAAAATGGCCACACTTCTACTCAGGTACCCTTGTGGTCTCCTTGCAGTCCCCCTCTATGTCCTCTGTCCCATTGCAGCTAGATGCATCTGCTCCTCTGGCCCCTATCACCCATGTACCCTTCTCTTCCACCTTCCTCTTCCAGCTGGACATTTGGAACTAGCCTCTCTGCCATACTCTCTGAAGCTGTTCCCTGGCCATCCCCACTCACATTGGCAAACCTCAGACTGTTCAACTCCCCACAGGGAAAAGCTCCCCACCGCACCCCAGACTCCCTCACCACTGTAGCCCTCTCCTCAGCCAAGTTCATGGCCCCCTCTGAAGCCCCCTGCACCCCATGCAGGGCCCCACTTCAAGAAGAAGCCCACCCCTGCTAACTTCCCCACCTTTGCTTACACGCGTACTCGAGTCTCATGGGTTCTACAAGCCACAGAGCAGCCACCTCTCTCTACTTCCTCCCTGGCCCCCAGCCTGGGTTCCCTCCTGCTTCTAGAAGCCAGGAGTCAATGAATAGCCCTCTAATGGACCTTGTACCAGCCAGCATCAGCACAGTTGCCAAAGCCAGCTGGCCCTGTACTCTCAAGGTAAAACCAGCCCGACCACCCTCCCCGGAGGGGACAGTGGAAAGATCCCTGGCCTGCAGGACACCAGGGTCCACCTGGCACTGGCTGACCTCTCTGCATGTGAATGGGTAGATACATGATGAATTCTAAAGTCATTTCCAGGACCAAGGTTCTAGGACTTGGTTTTCTTGGTTTAGACAAGGAGTCAGCAAGCTATGGCCTGAGGGCTTAACCAGGCCTCTGCCCGTTTGTGTTGGTTAAGTTTGGCACACAGCCAGGCCCGCTTGTCTACCCGTTGGCTGTCTAGACCCTGGGGCGAGTGACTCAGCCAATCCAAGCACAGTGCTCAGGTCAGTTTAAATGGGGCAGGTCTCAGAGTCTTTCCACAGAATTGTGTTTCCTAGCAGCCGATGCGAAATCCAGTAGAACTTTCTGGCCTTGGGGGCTGCCTGTGCTGGATTGCGGATGGTTTGCTACGCTCACTCGGGCCTTCCTGCCTGGACTACAATCTCAAATAGGGTAACACGGCAGTGGAGGCTCATTCGACATTTTTAATGAGAAGAAACAGAATTCGCTTTTCGTAGCTAGCGCAGATGTGGCTGGGGCATCACTACTCCAGCTGCAACACCCCCTACTCCAGCCGGTGGCTGTGCCCGCCAAGTCACAAAAGAGACACATGTGTGCAGGGACTGCCAGGAGGCAAGGCCCCATGTGACTTTGGCTGCGTCCACAAAGGGCAACTGGGCTGGGCCAACCCTCCTTCCAGGCTCTTCTGCCACTACAGCTGTTTGCTGCTCACCGCCAGAGCCCGGTGCAGGGCGTGGCAGGGCCGCCCCTGCGACATCCCGCCGTTGGGGTTGCTAGGCCCGGCTGGCACCATCAGGGTCTCTACAGCTGACGGCGAGTCAGCTTCTCTCCAGGTTCTAATTTCCTCGCTTTCTGGTCCTGGGCCATAAGGAATGTTTTGGGGTCGTCTTATCGTGGAGTGTTTTCAGCCCAACATGGAAGGGTAAAGTCAATTCCTGGGGTAAAGTCAATTCCTGGCTGCGTGGAAAGCAGCAAATGTGTCTGAGAGAGGTTCAGTGCGGAGGACCGAGCTCCGACTCCGTTCTCAAGAGCATCCCCATGGCCTGGCTGAGCGGAGCCAGCGCCTGCCTGAGCACCGGGCTCGCCCTGGTCTCTCCTTTTCAGGCGCCTGCACTGCTCCCAGCCTGGGCCAGCCTCCCACCTCTACTCTCCCAAGGGGACTGCCAAAGCTGCCACGCTGTCTACAGACCATCAGACCACGCCCTTCTCCTCGACTACCACACTTGGGCACCAGCTGCCTCTTGGGGACTTCCCTGCAGATGCCTAGGGACCTCCAAATTGCAGGAGACCTGAGGATAACTCTTCTTACTGCCCTGGCCCGACCCTACCTCTGCCTGTCTTCCTATCCCAGGACAGGGCTCTGGCCGAATCATGTGGTCCCCTCACCCCTTGTGCAGACATCAATGTGTCCTGTGGGCCCTGCCCTAACTCTGAAACGTGTCCTCCCCGGATCCCCTCCCCACTTCCACTACTGTGCTGCGTGCTGCCAGGGCTCCTCGAGGCCTCTGGGGAGCCATCCCCTGCAGGCAGAGACCTTGTCTGCCCTGTCCCTCCACTTTGGGTCTCTGCGGTCCCTGCACCATCCCTTTCTCCGGGTGGACGTTCCAAGATCTCTCTGGTCGCCGAGTCAGGCCGTGACAACGAGTGCCCCACCTGGCCCCAAAAGCCCTAGTAGTGAGGGAACTGGACTGGGTCCTGACTGTGTGTGGAAATTCACCTACCCACATCCCTCAAAAGCCCACTTCATTGGAGGATAACTTAGAAAGAAACGAGACACAAGCCCGCTCCAGGAAAGAGGTGCCCTAGAATCACAGCCCAGGCATCTGGGAAGACTGAGGAGGAGCCAGTTAGCCCGGGGACTCTCCAATGGCTTCCTACCTCTTCCGAGTGAGGTATGTCCCCTATCTCCTGGACCCTCCTGTCATCCCCCCTCTGCCACACTTCTCTGCTCCCTGGCGCATCTGATGCCCTGAGAGGGTTGAGGATATTTCATTTCCTCCCATGCCCAGCTGTCCCCACCAGGTTCACGTGGCTCCTCCCTAGCCACTTGGTGGGCCCCTCCTCTTCCTTGTCCTCTAGTGCCCGAGGGCCCCTCTCCCCGGTCTAGGTGCTCCCCAGGGCCTGTGGCCCTCCAGTCTGTCTATCAGCCAACGAGTCTCCATCTCCAGCTTCAGAGCTGATGGCTAAGCTGTGTCTAAGCCTGACAGGCTTCAACCCCCAAGCCCCAGCCCTGGCCAGCCCCGCTCCCCTTCAATGCCACCTGGAACCTGCCACTTCACCCCCAGCCCTCCATGCAGGGCCTCCTCCTTAGGCCTCCTGCTGCCGACCCTGCCCTTATCGCCTCTTCTTAGTAGGGCAGCCCAAGCAGTCCTTTCAAATAAATAGGAACCAAAGGGTGTCATGGCCTCCAGTGTGCAAGCCCTCCACTAGCGTGTCCCTTTACCTCCTCCAGCCCTAGCACATTCCCACCCCAGGGCCTTTGCACTAACTGTTCCCTCTGCTGAGAAGACTCTTCTTCAGTGAGCCCGCCCTCCCCCGGCTCTCCCAGCACCCCTGCATGTGCTTCTGCTTTATTTTCTCCCTTCAAGTGTCCCACATGTTCTAGTGTTCTCTCCTTAGGTGCCTTCCACTGGATCGTAAGCCCCTGGGGACAGGGGCTTGTCTGGCTGGCTCAGTGGATGGGGCGGAATGTCAGGGCCCACGCGACCTGGTGCCTGTCTCCTGTGATGGCTCCAGCCCTCCCCACGGCTCTCCACCCCGTCTCTGCTCGCCGGCTAGCTGGAGCTGCTTGGGAGACCCTCAAGTCCCTGGACATGACGCCTGTCCTTCCTCTTCCCAGTCTGCTCTCCCGAAGAATGGCCCGTGGCTGGCCTTCCTCCTTGCCCTGACTCAGCCTGAGCACTCATCCTCAGAGGCTGTCCTGTCCAGGCCGCCGCTCGTCTGCTTTCTTTCCCCTGAGCCTTGGGCTGCCCGCACTTGCTCCCTCCTCTGTTCGGTGTTGGCTGCCCAGAGAAGACGCACTTGGCGCCACGGGCTCAGCCCGGGCTCTGATCTGCACGCTGGACAGCTCGGAGCCTTACGCGGGGCGGGTGACACTGCAGACCGACAAGGCCCAGCCCTGGCCACGCTGAGCCAAAGCGGGAGGGATGCGGTGTGAGACTGGCGCGTGCGAGGCTACTGCTGGCTGGGTGGAGGGTGCCCGCTCAAGGTGGCAGTGCAGGGCGGGGCGGGGTGGGGTGGACAAGGAATGCAGAAGCAGGGAGACAAGCGAAGGCCTGGGACACCCACCCACCCGGCCGAGACGAACGGGAGAAGAGGGAAGGAAAAGAAGAAAGAATCAAAGCAGAGACTCCCGAGCCACGATGACAAGAGTAACAGCAGAAGCTGGGCCTGGCGCCTCCCTGGCTCCTCTTTCTCCCTCCGTAGGCCACCACCCTGGGGGGCCAGCAGTCCCGGGGGCTCCAGCCCGCTGCTCAGTCTCAACCGCTAAGTCTCACGGAACTTCGATTCTTCTGGCCTTCCCCGCCTGTCCGCTAGTCCAGAACCTTCCTTGGGAGGCCAGGGCCTGTCAGTTCCCCTGGCATCTGCGCTTACGCCCCCTGTAGGCATGAGGGTGAAGCACAACTCGGACGTGACACAGCAAGGTGTCATCAAGAGCCTATGGCGATTTGATCCATCCATCACCTGGGGCAAGGAGAAGCCAAGTTCAGAAAGCCTGTGTGTGGGAAGATCAAGGGGAGGGATCGAGTAAGACACGGCTGTGTGTGTGTTGCCAAGCCGAAACTGCTGACAGCTAGCAAGTTTCGTGAAAATCGCTTCCCGCCTTGTATGCACACTCCTGTGCCCAGGACCGTGTGAGCCTGGACTCATGCTGACATCGACGACTGAGCTGAACTGACCTGGGCACCGTGAGTCCCAGGCCTTTCAGGTGCTCAGACTAAAGGGGACGTGTGAGGAAGCCCCACCTGAGCCCTTGTCTCTCCCGCTGGCAGAGTCTAGCTGCAGGGCCTTGAAGAAGTACCTTGCACTCTCCGGCCCTGGCTCCCGGCCTTGGAGTCAGCACTTGAAGTGCCTGCTGGGTGGGGCTCAGACCCAGGGCTCTGGGGTGTGCTCTAGGCTGTGTTCGGGTGTGTGCTTTAGGAATCGCTTGGAGGGCCATCCGCCATGGTAGGACCCAGGGCTCCAGGACGTCTTGGGGCAGGGCAGGGTTCAGCGGAGGGCTGAACCTGTTTCTAGTGTAAAAGCAGCATGCATACTGTCAAGCATCTGAGGAAAAATGTCAATACGCTATTCCCAGAAGCCGAAGTAGGGAGATTTGGCTTGAAGCAAATGAACTTCCTAAGAATGGAGCAAACTCCAGAAATCAATGCTGCTTTTGCTTTGCCAAGTTCCTCCTACTACAGGGCTGTGAGTGTGTGGTGAACTTATCTCCCTGGGTTCTGGAAAGGTTTTCATGTTGCAAACGCCAGTTCAAGTAAAGCAACCGCTCTGATCTGTTTCCAGCATGGTTAATCAGAACCAAATAGCTCCAGGGGACCCTCCGTGGCCATATTGGTCCAAACTCACAACATCCCCCCTCCCCCCCTTTGCCGTGCTGGGTAAGGAACCATCTCATGAACTACTGCCACAGTCAACATTTGACACAGACCCAGTGTCACTGAAAGAAGGACAGAGTTTGGATGCGTGGCTGGGGAGGTGCTGGGGTGTGTCTGTGTGTCCCAATGGGAAACAGACACAAAAGGACTCTGAAGAGGCTTCCATGGGCTCTCGCAACGATTGTGCACCCTCCTTTCCCCACCTGGAGGTGACGGCAGTGCCCTGGGCTTGCTGCTCATAGTAAGCCCGAGCGACTGGACTGTCCCATCTCTGGACACACCTAGACACTGATATTCAACAAGAAGAGTGATGCTGGGCTTTCTGTAACCTCAGCTTGTGAGTCTGTGGTTGGGGCCGGAAGGATCGTCAACAAATGGCTATGATGGGGGCAGCCATCGGGGGGGCAAGAGAGGAGAAACGGCTCTGAGCGTGGAGGCCGTCTTGGGCGGTGGAGGCCATCCTGGAGCTGGGAGCAAGGAGGTCATGGTCAGTACAGTTTAATGGTTCTGGCAGAGGAGGGAGGGGGTCAATGCTGGGACCCCCCGAGTCCAGAAGCAGCGCAGGCATGTGTGCACGTGCAGCGTGGAAGGCTAGGGAGAGGGTGGGCTCAGACGGGGGCGAACGGAATTTCCCCGCATCTCTACAGCCTCCTGGTCACCCTCTGGCTACTTCCCGCCCTGAGGGCAGCAGCCAGTGGGGATCCCTGTCGACCCTTGGCCCTTCTCCCTGAAGAGCCTGAGGCCCTTAGTGGGAATGACTTTGAACAGGAGGTCACTCCAGTGCCCCTAAAACTGCAGGCATGGAGCCCTGAGAGGCCCCCAACTCCTGGTGGGCTGAAAGGCAGACTGGCTTGGAGAGGAGAGAGGCTAGAATATTCCTCATGAACAAAGGCGTGGGTTTTCCTTAGGAGACCTGGTGACTTAAGGTCCCTCTGGGCCTAGTTGGGGCGGCCTGTGAGCACCACATCTCTTGTCTAGGGGAGCTCCGCTGTGGCCTTCACCCTGCCTTCCTTCAGAGAAGCTCCCGTCCACCAGAAAGTTCCGACGAGAGGGTGGGGCTGGCCCTGGGGGCATCCGCCTTCCCCTAATTTATATGATGAGGGTGCTGGGTTCGGCGATTTCTTGGGGTCCTTGAAGCTTGGAGTGGGGGTTGGGTTCTGAGTTCTAAACCAATCTGCTGCAGGAGGTGGTTTGGGTTGGCGGCTTCTGGAAGCAGGCGTGTTCCCCACGGCGTTGCCAGGTCCCCCAGCCAGCATCTTCCTCCACAGTGGAGTCCTTTCTGGGGTACCGCTGTCCCACTGAGGTGAGCCTTTTAGCCTTTTAGGCCTTCGTTGGTCAGGACAGCAGAGCTCCTGTGACTTCACGCCAGCACCCTCCGGAAGGACCTGCCACCCGCCTTCCTCCTTTTGGTCAGCTGCTGCTTGGGGATGGTTCATGAACAGCGGGAGGGTGGCGTCTCTCCCACTGTACTTACCGGGCACTGCCGGGCTCCAGAGATGGGGAGGAGGGGGACAGATGGCCGCGCATGGAAGGAAGGAAGGAAGTGCTAGGGGCTGAGGAAGACAGGAGAGAGAGGCCGCCCCCAGGGAGGAAGTGGGAGGACGCCAGAGAGAGAAGAGACAGCGGGCCTCCGGGGCCAGCAGAGGCAGGCGAGGAGAGGCTGAAGAGGCCAGGCTGGCCCTGGGGCGGGACAAGGCTTGAGGGCCGTGTGGCTGCCTTTCCCTGAACTCAACAGAAGGGCAGATGGACAGACAGACATACAGGAAGCACAGAGAGAGATGGCAAAGAACATATGGAGGAAGCCAAAGGGGAGGGAGGGACAGGGTGGGTCTGTGTGCACCCCCGGGGGCACAGTCGTGACACTCTTGCCCCTCGGCTCCCAGGATGGAAGGCGCTGTGCCCGCAGGAGTCCTGGCCTGGATGTGCCCGGGGACCGTGCATCGTCTCTCTCTGGGTGGTGAGGCTCCTTTGGGCCCCGGGCAGTGCTGGTCAATGTTTGTGCCCCAGGGGGGTGGCTCGGGGGGGTGGGCGTGTATCCAAGCTGCAGATGTGTGCAGCTGTAGCTTGGAGAAGGTGTCTCTCTGCGTGTGTGTGTGTGTGTGTGTGTGTACATGTGTACGTGCATGCCCATGTGGGTCGCCCAGCAGGGATGGGGCAGCCCTCATCCTTTCCTTAAAGGGCAGAGTGGCCCGAAATGACAGCTCAAACAAGAGGAGGGGTGCCCCTTACTGGTACCTCTCACCAGTTCCTAAAAAAAAAACCAAAACCAAACAAACAAAAGAAAACAAAAAGGAAAAGAAAAGCAAAGCAAAGCAATCAAGCTGGAAGAGTCTGTGATGGGAAAAAGGCAGGCGCAGTTAAGGACTCCCACACAGGGGAGTGGCGTGGCGTGTTCGCAGAGGGGGGAGCTGCGGGCTCACTGGAAGGAAAGGAAAGAGGTAGCGTGTAACCATCCCCGCGAGGGCTCTGGGCTCACACTCGAAGGGTTACTGTTTGGCTTTTTAAATCTCTGGCATCTGTTACAGAAAGCAGGCAGCCCTGGGCGGTGGGAGAGGGCCGTGCGGTCCTTGCATCCTCTTCCCCTGGGGGAGCCTTGGCGGCTTCAGTGGGGTAGTGGCCTTTCCTTTGTTTTTGAAAAGATGTGGACAGTCATGGAAATTTTGACCTCCTTAGGCTGGCCCTCTTTAAAACGTGACCAACATGGTGGGGATTTTTCATTGAAATGTATCAAAGGGAATCGATTTCTCCCAGCTTCTCAGAGGAAGGAGAGAGAGTGCAGACCGGATCGGGTTAAGACCTTCCAATCCTCAGGCCTGTTTGGAAAGAGCAAAGGCGCTTCAGGGACAAAAGGAAACATTGTACTCCCCACACGTCTGGCCCCCGAGTTCTAGTCCTTGGGACACCTCTAACAGCTGGTGGTGGCTCGGGGCGAGGGCCTACGGCACCACCCGCGCAGGAGTGATCGGCCACCACTGAGTCCACCTGAGGACAGGTGATGGTGGCATCCTTTGGAAACCACCTCAAAGAAAATGCTGGAAGCTGCCACTTGAGTCCCGGAGGAGGCGGGCTGGATTCTTCTGCTGCAAATGATGCCAGAAAGGCACTGACCTCCCCTCCTGCCCAGGGACGGCCCTGAGCCCACGTGTCCCCCTCACGCGGCACCACAGAACACCGAGCAAGGCCCCAGCCCGACACCAGACACCACCAGAAGCGGCCCAAGTTCATGAAGAACCACCGGCAAAGGCAGACAAGTTCAAGAAAAGAAAACCAATGGCAGAGGAGCACTGAACACAAACCAAAAAACCAAACAAGCAAAGGACGAAAGGCCCGGAAGTGCCGTGGGTTGAATACATTTCATAAGAGAATATGGCTTTGGAGAGACACACCGTCTGGGCGGGAAGGACTGGACAGGGCAGTAAAGAAAGAACGGAAAAGCCACGGTGAGCGGAAATGCAAGACTGGAAAAGAGAGAAGGCAGAGTTGGGGAGGCCTTTTCTTCCCCAGAGATGCCATTTATGAGAGAAAAGGGAAGTCAAGACTCACTCCCAGCAGCACTGGCGGGATTGGCAGCAGAGAGAATTACGTGAGTAGGGGTAGAAAGATTGGTTACGTCATGGAGCTGGCTGAGGACCGAAGACCGCCGGCGCACGGCACCCTGAAATGAACCGCTTCTCTTGAAGGTACTCACTACCTCCATCTGTGGGAGAGAAAATGAGATAAAGTTTGGCTTGCACTGTTGTCCGGGGGACTGCAGGGGGGCAGGGCTGGGTGAGGACAGGGGCCACACTGGGCACATATCGTGACAGCAAAGCCCATCGGGTCAGCCCTGCTGGCTGGGAGCTGGCGATGCTTTTGCCAGGGCCCTGACCGAGGCCGGCCTCGTGCCATCCACCAGGAGAGGGTTTGCTGAGCAAATGATTCGAGGTCACGGGATTGGGAGGGAAGGGGTTCACGAGTCAGGGGCACAACGCAAACACTTCAGAGTCATTTGCATTCACGATATGCTCATGGCAAGCCACTCGTCAGGAAGTACCTGTGTCTGGCAATACTTTGTTATCCTACTTCGTAGCTTTCAACCTTTTTTGACGCCCCAACACACCTGAGGGATATGACATGCTCCCATTAGAAACACGGCCCCCCGGGGGTGTGGGGGACAGGGACCCTGCCCTGGCTTGTTGGGAATCATCCAAGTAACTGTGTGGGGGACACCCCCTTGAAACCTCGGCAGAGGAACGGGCTTAGAAGGCAGAGGAGGGGGCTTTCCCACAGACCCACAGGCGTAGAGGAGAGGCAGGGCAGAGAGGCTAGAAGGACTGGGAACAAAGATGGTTTCTGCTTTGTCTCCACTCTCAGCTTCCTCGAAGTTGAAAGGAAACTGGGTCTGCGGAAACCAAGGCCCACCCAGTGTCTCTGGTGTTCCTGATCCTGCCCTTGGCTGGCACGGGACTTCTGGCCATCCCGCTGGAGATACCTACAGGTCACCGGACGGTGTGAACAGCAAAGCCAGTATGCATTTCTGGAGCCCAAAGCTATGTGCTCCAGGACAAGAAAAGGTGCCCTCGCCCCACTCCAAGGCCTGCAGTGGCTATGTGGTGGCCACCAGGTTCGGCCTGGCATCTGACGTGAGCCAGGGCTTCTCGGAAGAAGGCAGCTTGAATGTTCAGACTCCCCCCCGCACCCACCAAAATGAGGATGTGCACCATTTCAGCCCTTGGACACATTTCAGAAAGACTCCTCCTTCTCGACCTGCCAGCCCCCTGGTGCCCAGCATACTCTGCTCGCTCGCTTGTGAGAAGGGGAAACTTGAGGCCACCGACTGCAGCCGTGAGGTATGCATACCGGGCACACACGATGGGTTGGCACCACGTTGCACCGCGTGTATCAGTGCATGGAGGGAGGACGGTTAATGTGTTAGAGTCGTGGTATCTTGGGGGGGGTGTCTCCTCTCTAGATTTCTATGACTCTCGAAAGAGGTCTCTCTCAAGAGAGAACTCTTAGGGCAGCAAAAGTGATAAGGGATGGGAAGTTGCCTTTCCTGCCTTGGATTTGTGCTGGCCTCTCCTGGAACAGACCGTGTCCCAAAGGGATGGCCACATCAGTGAAAATACCACAATCGCCATCACCCCATGCCCGGGAGCCCCACCGCTGGGCCAGCAGCGAGGCCTAGTCACTGATGAACTTCCCTTTGATTTTTGATAGAATGCAAAAAAGACAGACCGAGTCATGAGCACTTCAAAAAGCTATATGTTCTGGGTTGGAAGGACTCTTTTATTCTGGGATGACGCCCCGCCTGTCTGGTGTGTTGGTATGTTACTACGGAGTGATGGTCGCAAAATGCCTCCACTTAGCCACGCGGAGCTGTGTGCTGGCCTCCAAAAGCCAGGGAGCAGCTTTGTGGTTCACAGAACCTAGCAATCTGGGGCCGGCTGTCTCGAAAAGGTTTTCTGGGCCTGGGGCATTCATACAGGCTCATGGCCTCTCCCAGGCGCTAGTTAAACAGTTGAGAAGCATGGTGAATTCCATGTGACAAATCAAAATGACAGGCCACGGGGGTCGAGGGGAAAGGAGTGTGCCCTGGGGCCAGGCATAGGAGACAAGGTCCTGGCCAACCTCACTCTCCCTGTGTGACACTGGACAAGCCCCTTCTCCTCATGGGTAAAGCAGCTGACCAGCCCATGTCTATGTGAGCACTGGCAACTGGAACAGCCCGGAACTCTAAGACTGCAACTGATGGGACCCACTTCTACTCGCCAGGCTGGAGGGTGGGCCCGAGAGCCCACAGGCACACAGAAGACACGAGACACACACGTGGCCAGGGTACCACTGACAGCTCAGATGGGGCGGGGCTGCTATTTCAGCTGCTAGGAAAACCAGCACCGTCTTAGGCTGCAGGGACAGAAGGGTAGTGGGCCGCCAAGTAGCAAGGTCCCACGGTGCCACCCACCTTCCCTGCTGGCTCGGGCAGCTCTTGGCTCTGCAGCAGAACAGGAGGAGAGCAGACAAGAGCCCGTCTTGGGGGAAGCTGGGGGCTCATAGGCACAGTCGCACAGAAGGCACAGTTGAGTCAGGCACTGACACACAGGGCCTGCTTCTGACATTTCATGTGCTTTTAGTTTAGCACAGAAGTGTTTGTTGCAGGGAGCAAGCAGAAACTACCTGTGCCATGCCCCTGGTCTGTCCCAGGCACTTGGGGGAGGAGACGCAGACCCTTTCTTCTCTGAGGCTCTCTGGGTCCAGCTGGGCCGGGGCCAAGGTAACATTGCTCAGAATCCAGGCCTAAGACCCCCTGCCCTGGCCACGCTGCATTAGGTGCTGGGACGCCAGCCCAGCCCCCTGGTCCTCAGCGGAAGTAGCCCCTCGGGTCCCCGGGGAGCTTCTTTGATGCCACCTCACTCAGCGCTGTAGGATTCTGGCCTTTGAGGAGGGCTCAGGGATGCTCCAGGTCTGGAAAGTTCCCCAGGGCATCCAATATACCCAGACTTCAGTGGCCTGGGCTGGGAGCACAGATTGCCCATGGTGGCCTCTGAGTGGGCTTTTGCAGCATGAGGAGGGGCCCCGAGGGGATGCAGTGGGAGCTGCAGAGACACAGTCACACGGGCAGGCAGAGGGCAGGTTTGGAAAACCAGCCAGGGGTGCAGGAGTGCAGGGCGTATGGGACCAAGAGGCAGGGGCTTGAAGGCCATGGTCAGGGCAATGGAGAGGGTATGCAGGTCCCTGTGCAGAGGCTAGCACTGGAGAGACCAAGCTGAGCCAAGGCAAGCAGGTAGGCCAGGGCCTGGGGCAGGGTGCGGGTATCCCAGGCTGGACATGTTGAGACCACTGGTGGAAACACAAGTCCAATGCATAAGGACAGCTGTGGGCAAGTGGCATGGATGATTCTTTGGGTAAACCCTTGGTGAAGTGTGACAGACACCATGGAGGGGTGTGGCCTCAGGTCCTGTCCCAGGAAGCTGCCTCAACAGCCTCCTGCGGGGATCAGCCAGGGGACTCTGCCTTCACTGGCCCTGGTGGCTTAGGTGGGCCTGGGCTGCACAGCCAGGAGCAGGGTGGTGCCCTTTACTCTGGCAGGACCCCAGGGAAGAGAAGCAATTGGTACCATGTTAGGGGCATGGGGACTAGGGTTCCTTGACAGAGAATGGCAGGGCAAGGAGTGATGGGTGTCCCCTAAGGAGGGACAAGCCTTGCAGGGAGAGGAGTGTGTGAGGAGTGCCGTACCAAGTGGCCATCTGGAGGCTTCCAGGGGAGGGGTGGGCTGTGAAGGAGAAGCTGTGGGAGGGGCTGCAGCAGAAGAGGGGCTGGGCTGCAGGTGAGTCCCCCATGGGCTGTCCCTTCCTCCCAACTGGGGTTTTCAGCATGCAAAAGCCACAGCATGACAGAACCAGGGCTGAGCAGGAAGTGGGGGCACCAGGCGAGGACAGGCGTGACAGACACAGAAGGGATGGCAAGTCTCCAGGAAGGGTGGTCAGGAAGTGGCATCTGGGCAGTGCTGCCAGGCAGGCAGGAGCGATGCAGGGACTGCCTAGGCCCCGGGGCTGGAAGGGGGCTTTGTAGACCTTGGTGAGAATCACTTCTGGGGAGTGGTATGCAGAGGTCAGGCCATAGAGGGGTTGCAAGAGAATTCCAGGGAGGGATAAGGATAGACAGTGAGTCTGGAACATTCTAGCAAGAGGGTTGGCCGGGAAGAGATGAGGGCAGAGAGCAGGGCGAGCTCTGACTTCATAAGAACTGTAGCTGATGGCCTCGGCCTTGACTAGCCCTGATGTTTGGAGATTTGGATGAACAGAAAGTACCAACTCAGTGACCAGAGTCCACTTCCCAAATGAAGCCTTTCCGTGACATTTACATGTAATTCTGTGAACAGTGAGCTTGCCACAGGCTACTTGAAATGGGCATCTCTTCCCAAGGATGTCACTTGCCTCAGACCTGGGGCAGTTCCCGCCAAGTAGAGCGAGGCCCAGCAGTTATGGGGACAACACCGGTCGGTGCCCCTGAGAGATGGCCACTAGTCGCCAGCACACACCTATAGCTGGCCCGGCACCCACTCCAGGGGGCTTCTGGGCTCTGAGGGAGGTGTTGGGGAGAGGCGATCTCAGTGCCACAGCCACTGGCAGGCACGCCTGGGCACGGCAAAGCGGACACTGGCGACTGCTCGTGTGATCTTGGCAGAAGACCACAGGGCTTCCTGCTGGTGAAGGCCTCCCATGGCCTGCTCTGCCCGGACTGGTGTGTTTGCTTTCCACCCTCTCGAGGCGGAAGGGCCAGAGGAGCCGAGTGGAGCAGCGGCTTACCTGCGTCTGGATCCGGTTGAGGCCCCGGAACCAGAGGATCTGGCCCCGGCGAAGCTCCCGCTCTGCGTGGTCGATCTCCTCCTCTCCCTCGGCCAGCTCCTCATCCGTCATCTCATCCTTCCCAGGCCCATGCCCTGCTTCCTTCAGGCACTTGAGCTGGCTGGTGGGGATGGTGGCGATGACCTGGGGGTACCGCAGCCGAGAGACAGCAAGCAGAGGTGGCTGTGAGAGCAGGCTTGCGGGTGAGGAAGGACCCAGACACCCCAGGTTCTTCTCACTGGTCCGTGCCCACCCCCAGGCATCATACACTGCTGTTTCCTCAACTCCTTGTCCCTGCGGGCAGACTGGGGGGACACGCTTCCTGGCTCCCTCTGCCTGGCACCAAGTTCTGCTCTCCGGAGGGAGACGCCAACCTCCTTCCTCTGAAGAGTGTTGTTTTCATGTTTAAGCAAAGAGTGCAGAGTGAGAGCTGCCCCTGGAGAGCTCTGGCCATAGTGTTTGGGGAGGTGTGGGGTGCTAAGAAGCACTGCCTGAGGGCTGAGTGGTCTCCACAGGTCTGGAGGGGATCGCTAAGACCTTAGAATATCCTGCTTGAGGGGGGTGTTGTTTCCCAGGGTCCTTGGGACACTAACAGTGTGATTTATGACATCCCAGGTCCCGGGGTATCAGAAGGACCTCTGGAGGGCTGGAAATTCAGGCCAGCCACGTAAGCGCAGCCTGCCTGTGACCCACCCCTCAGAAAAGCCCTGGACACCAAGGCGTGGGTGAGCTTCCCTGGTTGATAGCACTCCATGCATGGTGTCTTAATGCCTTCACAGGGAGGGGACACCTGGAAGCTACCCTGGTCTCCCCTGGAGAGGGCATCTCCTGGGAGAAGATGGCCTAAGAAGGGCCCGTGCATTGGGAGCTAGGGAGAGGTGACAAGAAGGGTGACAGCTGGAACTGGCGAGAGAAGGAGGAGCCTGGCGGGTGAAGAGAGGGCATGGCTTTGTGTGTCGCAGGCCACTGGGAGGTGGGGGGGACAGTCTAGAAGGATGCAGGATAAGCCACAGAAAGGGGTACTGGGCATCTACAGTTCTAGAACAAGATGTCCCATCTGTCTTGTGCATCTGAGCAAATGTCTTCATCACGTGTGCCCATGAAGGTCTTGGGGCCTATTCACAGAGGTTCCCTTCTATTAGATTTGCTCACTCAAACATGTTTTAGTTTTAGTTTAGTTGCAGGCTGGTGCCATGCTCCTGGGGAAGCCCGGGAGAGCCTGTGGCCTGGGCACTTGAAGGTCAAGAAGCGGGGCTGACACCACCCAGACGGTGGTTAGAGTCCAGGTTGCGAGAAGTGAAGGGACTCCGTGGAGTGCAGGGTCTGAGTGTGACTCACTGTGAGGGAGGTGCAGTGGTGGAGGGAAACGGCAGAATTCTGAAAACAAGATGGAGGAACTGGGTGGGCCGTCCCTGCGGACATGACCCTGGGGGCCAGCAAGAGGGCTGCGTTTGCAGCAGCTTCATGGCCCCTGCAGCCAGCTTGGGGGATGCCAGTAGATTCAGAAACAAAAGCAAGAACGCTAGGGACTGAATGATGCCCCCCTCCCTGCCCCTTCATGTGTTGAAGCCCTAACCCTCAGCATGGCTGTATTTGGCAAGGAAGTGATCAAGGTTAAATGAGGCAATCAAGGTGGGGTCCTGAAGAGAGCTTGCTCCCCTCTTTGCCTTGTGAGGACACAGTGAGGAGATGGCCGTCTACAAGCCAGGAAGGAACCCGCTCCAGGAACTGGCCCTGCTGGCTCCCTGATCTTGGATGTCCAGCCTCTAGAATTGTGAGAAAATAAATGTCTGTTGTTTAAGCCTCCCAGCCTATGGTATTTAGTTATGACAGCCCACATAGACTTAGACACAGACAAAAGTAGGTCCTGGACTTGGCTTCCTATGCCAGGATTCTAGAAATCCAGAGAAATACTTTCAGAGGCCTCTTGTGCACCCCTGGTCTCTGTGCTCTGCCTGGCTCCAGCCACCCAGGATGTTTGTTCCTGATGCAATTGTTGGGTCCTATAGACTCCCCCCGGGCATGGCTTTGGCTGCAGTCCACAGGGCTTGTTGCCACTTTCCACAAGGTCAAAGGGTTTCACAGTTTCTCTCATGACCTTCTTTCTGCCCCACAGATTATTTTGCAGGGTGCTAATTTCCAACATGTGAGGATTTCCCAAAGCACCCTAGCTGAAGGGGTGATTTTTGGCACTATCATGGAAAGGGGAGTGGTGGGTGGCTTGCCCGGGCCCCGCAACGTTCTGGTCATGGTCACGACACTGTCACTTGGGGCTTTGCTCCTGGGCCATGATGCATCACAGACTTTCCTGGGCACACGCTCTGAGGCTCAGGAGAAGAGGTGGTCAGCAGGGAGCAGACTGGAAGAAGGGGTGGGGCTGAGAAAGCTGACCAGGCAGACACTCACCTGTCCCCAGACCAGCTCCCCAACACCAACAAACAGGCACCAGAGCCACTGTTCTGTGGACAGGGGGGAGCAGCTGAAGGGCTTGCCGCCGAACTGGACGATGACAATCTGCGGAAGGACGGGGAGAGAGATGGGTCCAGCAGCAGCTCCCAAGGTTGTCCTGTCCTCCAGGCCGGCCCAGTCCCTAGAAGGCCCGGCCACACTGGTCCGAGTCAGAAGGGCTGTTGATTCCCCCAGACAGAAGGGCACCTCCCTGGGAGAGGGTCTGGCCCTCCTTTTGGGGGGCTCTTCCCCTATCTTTCTCCCCCAGCAAGTACCCGACGGAGGCTTCACAGACTGGCCGCCCACCAGGCCAAGGTGCCATGAGGTGTAGCTCCTCTCGGTGCCCGGAACCTGCTGATTCAGTCTCCGGGCTGAACATGTTTCCATATTCCGCAGACCAGATGTGTTAACACTGCCCTGCATGCAAATGCTGGACACGTCTTGCTCTGGGAGACCCAGAACCTGCCAGAGTCACCCTGCCTTCTTGGCCTCTTGCCTCCAATTCCCAGGGCCAAATTTTTCAGACGCAAACCAACCGATCCAGAATCCACACTCACCACCTTCTCTATGAAGCTCTAACACTTCAGGCTACTGTACCCCACCCTCATCACCCAGGCCAGGCACCAGACCTCCAGGGAGCACCCCTGTGCCCCAGAGGCAGCCACAGTGATTGTTCTGCCTCACCCATTTCTTCCCCAGGAAACTACAGTAAAGGCTTTGCCCCAGATCACCTCCCCCGCCACCTCCTAATTGGTGTGGCCCCCATGGCGTGGCATCCTCTTTTCTTGGGGTCTCTGAGTAACAAACTGGGACAGTCGTCTCCTGATCCACTGGCCTTACTACACCTCACATTTCCTATGAACACACTCTATCTAGAGCGCTCAGTCCCTCCCAGAAGCTGCGCTGACCAGCCTGGCCATGGCACTGTGGCGGAGCTGAGCGTGTCGGCACTGAGCCCAGAGAGCATCTCCAACCGAAACTTCTGAAGTCATGGCAGCCTCACACCAAGGAATTAAGTGCTGGAGATGGGAATGGCAGACCTGGAGGGAGCCAGGGAGAGCTCCTTCCTGCATCTGTGAGAAGAGTTAGTTCTGATGAACGCACACCAGACCCTTCTGGAAGCCAGCAGGCTAACTCAGGGCAAAGCCAGCCACGTTTGCAAGATGGAGAAGGCCCGCTCTGAAATGCAGAGGGGTATGGGGTAATAGGAAAGTCAGGAGGGACAGCACTGGTTCCGTGAGTGGAGACAGGGAGACCAGACCTTAGCTTTCTAAGGGGGCCTTCCTTTGGCAGGGGGCTAGAGGCCAGGCGTGGAGTCGCCATTCCTACCTGAATCCCAAAGGTGCCCAGGACGATGGTGCAGAAGATGGGGTTGCTGAAGATGCCGTCGAAGACGTTCCTCTCGCCGTGGATCTTGCGCGCATTGATCTCGTTGAACAGCTGCATCATCACGAAGGTGTTGAAGATGATGGTATAGTGCTCCGATGGCGGGGAGTGCAGGGGTGCGTTCCTCCCGCTGTCAATGTCGAAGAGCAGCTCCCCTGGAAGGTGGGGATGGGCATGAGGGGCAGATGCCCTGCACAGGAAACAGTCCCTGCCCCTGTCACCCAAGAAGCGCCTGGCCGGGGCCATGCCCCTCAGGAGCAAGACAACACTGTGTGGCTCTCGAGATGAGTCTCCGTCCCAGAGGGCAACAAATCTGAGCTCACAGCCAAAGCCACGCCCATCGGACCCGTGGCTCAGCCAGAGTCCTGAGACCCGCCAGGCAAGTGGCTGGGCCCAGAGGGCTGGCGCTCAACCCCTACGGGAAGGAATGAACGAGGAATAAAGGGTGTTCCTTTGAAACCATTTTTATTTATTTATTTATTTTTAATTGTAATATTTTGTTTTAGAGACAAGGTCTTGCTCTGTTGCCCAGGCTGGAGTGCAGTGGCGCCATCATAGCTCACTGCAGCCTTCGACTTCTGAGCTCAAGCAATCCTCCTGCGCCAGCCTCCCCAGTAGCTGGTACTACACATGTGCACTAGCACGTTCAGCTAACTTTTTGTAGAGATGAGGTCTCCTTTGTTGCTCAGAATGGTCTTGAACTCCTGGCCCCAAGCGATTCTCCCTCCTTGGCCTCCCAAAGTGCTGGAATTACAGGTGTGAGCCACCGTGCCCAGCCAGGAAGGTATGTTCTCAGCGCTGGTTTTCCTCAGACCCTTTCCTCCTCTGCCTCTTTCTCTCCTGGTCCTCCTCCTCCCACAGCATCCAGCACCCCGGTCACAGTCGCTGGAGAAATAGTCATGGGGTAACTGGTGCCGCTCTGTTCCCAGGGTTGCCGTGGCCACTCTGGGTCTGGGCAGAGGAGGAGACATTTTGCCTACTCTACAGAGCAGTGGACAAGATGTCAAGACATGAACCATTTCTCAGATGCTCAGGGGCCTTGCGGGGAGAGAGGCTGAGAAGGAGTGAGGGGCTCCTGGCGTCTGGGGGGCAACACGGTGAGTGCCGAGGGTGTGGAGTGGGCGGGCTGGGAGCAGCACGCCACACTCGTCTGCTCCTTCCCCTGTTCACCATCCAGTCAAGAACAGCTGTGTCCCACCCTGGACTGGGCCTGGGGACACAGACAGAGGTTCAGCAGGCAGGGTCCGAGCCCACCTACCCACAAAGAGCAGGGTGAAGATGATGGTGAGCTGGTACACGGCGTGGCCCAGAATGTTCTTCATCATGGTGCGTGAGATAAGTGGCTTGTCTCGGCCGTACGGCTTCCGCAGCAGCAGCGACTCGGTGGGCGGCTCCGTTGCCAGCGCCAGCGAGGCGAACGTGTCCATGATCAAGTTCACCCACAACATCTGCACAGCTTTGAGAGGAGAGTCCTGCGGAGAGGAGGCAGTCACCCTTCCATGGGCCACCACCTGGAAGGGCCTGGGGCCGGACACCCAGCAGCTCCTGGGGAGAAACTCGGCATGGGCTCGAGGTCACCAATCGCACCCCCGTAAGAATGGACATCTCCATCCCTGTGTTGTGTTTAGCTAGCAGAGGTTGTTTCTGGGCTTTCCAGTGCCCACTTCCCTTCTCTCACCTGGTGCCAGTGATCTAGAAGGTGGGAGCCAACCCCTTCGCAGGAAGTGGAAAAACTCCAGGCCACAAAACAGCCCAGCGATGGGTTCTGCCTCTGGGATGACAGACTGGGGCTGCTCTCCTTGTCCCCTACACTCAAGGGGCAGGAGGAGGCAGAGACTCTGAACTGGACCTCCTTTCTCCTCTCCTGAGTTGCTGGGAAAAACATCAGCCTCACAGAAGCCAGACACACAAGGCCATGTATTGTATGGTTCCATTCATAGGAAACTTCCAGAACCGACAGACCCATAGAGAAAGAAAGCAGGTGAGTGGTTGCCAGGAGTTGGGGGAGTAGAGAGTGATGGCTCATGGGGACGGTTGCACGACATTGTGAGTGTACTAAAACCCGCTGCATTATATACTCTGAAAATGGTTCTTATGGTAACATTCACGCTATGTGAATTTTATCTCAATTTTTAAAAGTTTTGAAAGGACCAAGTTGGTCAGCAAGTCATTTAACTACCTGTCGCAACAAACTTGACCTTTGCTCGTGGGGGACAAAACATTCTGGATACTCACCAGGGGGAAGAATGGGATTCTTGTGAAAGAGTTCCCATGTGACCCAGAGGTTCCATGCTAGGTCTAGACCCAGGAAAACTGAATACGTATGTCCACACGGAGGCTCGTACACGGGTGTCCGTAGTGGCACTAATCACAATGGCCAAGAAGTGGAAATGACCCAACATCCACCAGCTGCTGAATGGACGAACTAATGTGACCCACCCATATACCGCAGCATTCTGCGGCCACACAAAAAGTGAATCCTGACCGATGCCACATTGTGCATGAACCCTGCAAACATCTTTCAAACACAAAAGATCACACAGGGTGTGATTCCATTGGTATGGCATGTCCAGAACAGGTCAATTCACAGAGACACGAAGCACATTGGTGGGTGCCAGGGGCTGGGGGAGGAGCCATGGGAAGGGACTGCTGATGGGGACAGGGTTTCCTTTGGGACTGATGAGAATGTTCTGGAACTACATGGAGGTGATGGGTCCACAACATTGTAAATATACTGAGAAGACACCTCCCCCCCCCACTGAATTGTGTACTCGAAAATGGTGACCTCTTGGTACATAAATTTGCTCTCAATAAAAGGAAGACACAGCAATGAAGAAACCTCCTCCATATGCCCTGGCCCTGACACCTGCACTCCTCAACCTGAGCCACTGCCCTCGGGCACCAGCTGCCTCCTTCAGACCCCAGGGATCATGGGAGGGAGAGCCACAAGCAGACCTTGCCCGGAATGGCAGCCCGCGGTGCCCACCTGAGTAATACAGGCGCCTGTGAAGGCCACGATCACGGCCACCACGTTGACCGTCAGCTGGAACTGCAGGAACTTGGAGATGCTGTCATAGACGTTACGGCCCCACATGACTGCCTTGACGATGCTGGTGAAGTTGTCATCAGTCAGGATGATGTCAGAGGCCTCCTTGGCCACGTCAGTTCCTGCAATGCCCTGGGGGGGGGGTGACAGGCACACACAGAGTGTCCATGGGGTGCTTTCCTCAGACTCCCTGGACCATTCAGCCCTACTTGGACTGGCTTCCTGCCCTTCCCTTCCAAATACCCCCACCCCCAGTGGAAAACAGCAATCCTTTTTTTTTTTTTGAATTGGAGTCTCACTCTGTTGCCCAGACTGGAGTGCAG